ATGTAAAGTGTGAAATGCAATACATGAATACAAAATAAACGTAGCCTGACTTTGCGATGGGTAAGCAGTCTGAGCTTCCCAACACCAGGGACTCCAGAAAACTGGAGTTCCATTTCTATGTAGGTGTGAACATTCACGAAGCAGGTAGAGCCTTGCTGCATTGGTCTGCATTGGTAAATTTTCATGGAATTAATATGAACAATGTCTTCCTGATGTTTACAGACTAAATGGTCTGATTGTTTTAAATCCTTCCCCTTTGCTGGACCCTCTCACCCCCCCACCCCCAGCATTTTACCTGTGGAAATGCAGGCATTACATTTGAGGAAGGATTAGGTATAAATGGTCACACTGACGATAAGCAAAGGTGTAAACAGAACCGACACTTTGAATTCTCTTTTGTGAGACATACACAACAACTGTCTCAACATAGTTTTCCTGTTTTGAAAAGATGCTATGTTGATTCTCGCTAAAGAAAAAAAGGAAAACCTGTGGAGGGAAAGCAAACCACAATTATCTCTGACAACACACTTTACAATTGCTCTTCAGAATGACATACATGAGCCCAACGTGACGAAGCTTATTTAAAGAACTGGTGACCTCCCCACCTCTATTGCAACACACAATTTTAAAAATTGTTTAAAAACACAGTTCATAGAAGCTATAGCAAAGTAACCTGTATGCGTATGGTTGTTTTTCCTGAGTAAGAAATAAGGAAACAAAGTATATAACAGACTCTATTTGCTAAGGAACTCCTTTTCCAGTGCAGGTATAGTATTATCAATATTAATCACACAGATGACTGATAGCAGGACCAAGTACTCCTAGATATGAATTCTCTAAGATTTCAGAGAGTATTAGACTTGGACAGCATTTCCAGAAATATTTTGCTTATCCTTGCAAAAAACGATTTACTTGAGAAAAATGTACTATGCAATAAACCCAATGACATTTAATCTGTTTTAGCATCTAATTATTATGCTATGTCTAGCACTGCAACACTAGAAACGCTTCTCTTTTAAAAAAATTGTCATTAAAAGCAACAGGTGAACAACAGCACAGCTGTTTTCTTTCATAAACATATTTAGCAACTAGACCTTGTAATGTTACTTTTGAAATCGCCACATTCACCAAGCACCTTAAGTTACTAATAGCTTGTCTGCCTCTGGCATGAAAAAACATCTTGTTGAATTAAAGTGATCCTTGTGTTCTTAGCCTCCAAAATGATAAATGTTATTAGGGAAAAAAAAAAACAACAAAAAAAGCACACAAAAAGGAACAGATTAATTCTGATGCAGTCCCTATGAATTATCATGGTAAAAAATATATATAAAGCATAGACCCAAGGATATATGATGCTTTTTTTGAGGGGTTTTTGCACGGTTCTCTGCATAGGGAGAAACTGCAGGAGGTGTATATACAAGAACCTGGGTTCCTTGTCAGGGACTAAGTACCTAAAAGCCAGGCAATACCTCACCTAGCTCCTCTGCTAGCTCGGATATGGGGGACAGGTTCAAAATGACGCTAACTTCTACAGCAATAATGGAGTTTCTCCATCTTGGTGGGATGCTATGCGGTGGGGCATTTACATTTGTGGGGCACCGATATGCTCACGGCACCACACAAAGGTGCTTAACTTTCTAAGCCAGCACAAGTGACAGGCAGAGGGACATGGAGCCAACTGCTGGTTGTTAAAGTGCTGATCCTTTCATGTGTTACAGTGCAAAACAGTGGAAACAGAATGTTACTTAAATTAATAAAAAAATGCACCACAGACACCATGTCACTAAGAAAGCCAGTAACTTTACTGATTTGTCTGCAAAATACAAATTATACCTTATTTCCAGCAGGAGAATCTTTTGAAATTTTTCCATTTTTGTTCACTACAGACAGCTGAATTAAGTCCCTTGAGATACACAGATGTGGTTTAACTTAGTTATAACATCTTGTCATCTAGTGGCGACAAAGTCCAGCTTATGCCGCTGTGAGCCTCTACTTTAATATTTGTTGCAAATGCTTGTATGCTCCCATTTACAAGCTATTTTGTTATCACCATTGTTTTATGGAAGCAAATCCCCATGAAAGAGAAGAAAAAAAGAAAAAAAGGATACAACAAACCATCTGAAGCAATCCAAGTGTAATGCCTGTGGTAACCCAGGTCTGATATTAGTTACTCCACAAAAGACTCTGGTACTACATTTTTTATTTTTTTATTTATTTTTTTTTTAATGAGTTACTTAACTGACCTTTTTTGAATCAAACTGAGGTACGGATCAGTCTGAGGTATGAGCAGGGAAGGTAGAAACGCAACATCTGATTATGAAAATAATCAAACGGATACTTTTGATGCAGAAGGTCTGTGGCTCAAAGCTTGGATTGCTCCACATCTTTGGTTAAAATATATTAACAAAAGCCTTTTATTACATCTACAGTCTGAAGCATTCTAACAGACACCAATGTTCCATCAGTCCTTCAAGAGACCTGTAGTGGCAGGAAATTAATGCCATATAACTGACGACATCACAGCAGATGGCACAAACAGGAACAGATGAAGTATGCCATGTTTAGGCAACAGCCTTTATTGAGGTTTCAAGTGGCTTTTTAAAAATTACAAAGCATTTACCTTCAAGGCGAAGGAAGAAGGAAAACACAACAGCTCTGTTAGGACTATAGATAAAAGAGGGTATATAGGATAACACATACAATACAAAAGGGTTGACATCCTTGAAAACAGTCTAAGAGTTCTATTCTTACGCTAGCTTTACCTGAAAAAGATCTGAGGACAACAGATATTTTTATATTATTCATTAAAAACTGCTAAATTCCTCTTCTGGGAAAAATATAAGCCATTTTGTTATAAAACACAACTTTTGAAAAACACTGAAATGACAAAAGCTTTACTGCGAATGGCTCAATGCATACAATATACAGGTTGTGCAGATAGGGTATATCATATAATTGTCACCAGCAATTAAACACTAACTGACAACACCTTTAATAGAGGTTAGCTTAGCTATAACAATACTTGCAGATGTCTAGAATGCCACTTCAGGTGTTTGAACTTACAATTAAGAATGTTGCCTAAAACATTATATAGCATGGGTTAAGGTAAAGTAAATGTTAATACTCTTTCAGGGCTCTGCCCCAAACTCCTTAAATACAAAGGAATCACACAATAAACCCAAATTAGCTTTGCAAATACAATAAATGGTAAGGTACAGATAAAGGAACAAGAAAGGTAGACAGCTATAGTTTACAGAAAGTGACTTCACAATCAAAGTTGTGCTTCTTATCATTAGATCAGTTTGCAAATATGCATTATCCCCCACAATTTTGCCAGTATAAGTTAGGTGCCCTCTGCAGCAGGAACAAGAGGGACGACTGGCATTTATTTTCATGTGATTTTGTTCTACTTGTTTTTATACAAAAATCACTGTCAGAGTTAATATAAATTGCCCAGGCAATACTTTTCACGCTACTTTCTGCTTAGTTACTTGCAGTAATATATTACACTGCATTTTCGTTAAATACGGTATCTTTCCTTTTTCATGCGTTGCTGAGGCAAATCGCAAGGTAAACTATTAATATGGCTATTCGTCATATATCAATAGACCAAATCCCCTTCCCCACTGACAAGTTTCTATTACAATACTGATAAAGTTGTATTTTTTCTTGAAATTACAAGGTACATTTGTGATATATTTGCATATTTTTGACACACCAAAGTTTAAAATTCTCAGAAGAGAATATGAGTATAGGTTCATCTGAAGGTGAAGAAAGTGGTTTCAAAAACAGGTTTTTTGGAGTTTTAAAATTAATTATGGGCCCCATTTTACCTTTTTTTTTTGTTTTTGGTTTTTTTTTGTTTTTTTGGTTTTTTTGTTTTTTTGTTTTTTTCAAAACATGCGTATCGTTTCCTTTACCCTGCAGATTGCTACACAAGATAAGATGGACGCATCAGTAGCACAGTATTCTGCTTAAAGAGTTTCCAGATTATGCACTAGCCCCTGCACGGCTGAGAGTGCCTGTAAGGCAGGCTTCTATAAAGTCATGGTAAGTGAAAAGCATATGTCGTAATGCACACTGTAGTCTGTTCATCATTCTCTACTACAGAGAGGTACACTCTGTCATTGAGCAGTGCACAGCAACTGCATGTATAGGTGGGAAATAGAGTGTGGATTTCCCTTAACAAGATATTCTGTGTTGATATTTAGCTGTCGCAGCTATATCCTTCATCATAGTGTCAACGTATGTAGGTGAGAGTTGGAAGGAGTCTTGGAAAAAGGAGAAATATTACAGTTTTACTATGGCACTAACATTTTGCTTACACACTTTTTCCATTCAACACAAAGATTAAGCTCAAACATTTGAACATACCGTTTTCTTCTAATAAACAAGAAGGACAAAGAGGGACTTAAAGAAATGATACATTCCCTCTGGTCAAGCTATTTTAGTCAAAGGAACAATATGAGGCAGGAGAAAATGTGGATGCCCTATGCTGAAGCAAGTCTTGCTAGGGTTCAGATACACAGGGAGCATCGTTCAGCAACGTGCCCGCTGTGAGATGACGTCACCGCAGAGGTCCGTGAGAACCAGGGACCTGATGGCCAATACTGGCTGTGTAAGATCAATCAGCTTTTGAGCGGCCCTTTAATTGATGGTCTCTAAGAGTTTTAGATCTGTGAGAGAGGGGAGTGATCTTTATAACAGGCATCCTTTGCCGATCCCTCCCTTTAACTCCCCCTACTGCTTCGCAAATATTCACCTGCACTCACGTAACTGACAGCCGTTAGAGCTGTACATCCAATTGTGACAGGCAGAATACCAGCTTCATTAATGAGAAAGGGCCACATTATGCCACTTTGTCATTTAACCCATGGAAAACTACAAGATACGCAGGACAATAAGTAATAGAAGGGCCCTTAACTTGTTACAATGCACAAAACAGCATGAAAGAACTAATCAGTATATACAACAGATCGCAGTTCACTCAACTGATTGTAAAATGCTGTATTAAAACGACTTAAGCTGTTACACCATGGGTAAATTCTAACTCTTTACAGATCAGTCTTTCAACAGCTGACTTCGATCTGCAAAATGTATACCCAGTATAAGAAAAATGAAAGAAAATAGTTAAATGTGCAACTGCACAAATATAATTCCCCACTATTAAGATAACAAAAACTTTTGCTATTACCATAATTATTATATATATTAGAAAGCTATACACAAGCATGTTAATTTCACAGATTTTTTTAAAAGATTCTTAATATTTTATATAATTAGAAATACACATTTCAAAAACAAAACTTCTGCAAAGAGAAAACAGTTATCTTGGTTAGCAAAGCATGGAGTTCTTCATGGCTTAGGGTAGTGCTTTCTATACAAAAAGTCCTTTTTTGTTTGTTTCTTCAGGACTGTTTAAAAGATTAGCGAAGCTATCAAGGAAAAAAGAACACATTTTGGCTTGAGGAAACTACAAAAGCCACAAATGCTTTGCAAACTCTGTCTTACTTTTTAATATGAAAATAAGCAAAATGTAATGTACATTTTTTTTTTTTTTTTTTAGTAAGTGATGCAGACCCAGAATTTTTGAAATTAAATGTTAGCCTTCGAACTCAACATTTTTACAAGTATGGTCCTCTTTAAATGTTTTGATCCTTTTTAGCCGAGTGCCATACTCTAATGATAAGCCTGCATGTTTGTGAGCATTTTCGGTATGTTAGGTGACCCAGTCTCTTTCTACCATCAATTCATAGCCACCCAACCGCTGGGTCTGTCAAAACATCTGTACATTTTCTATATGATGCATAACAGCTGCTTTCTCTCTCAGTAAAGATCTGCCATTTCCGGCAAATGTTTTCCTTCTGTCTATTTACATGTAAATAACGTTGAACCTGCAACATGACACTATCTATTGTAACATACATTTTGCAAGGGAGCACAACAGTGAAAAGAAGTTAGCCTTAAAATCTACTTTGTACAAGTGTTCTGTTGTACAACTCAAGTGCTAAGCTTATCTCAGCATTTCTGTTTATCCTTACACTGTATCACTGAGGCAATTTAAAAGTACTTATACAAAACAGAGTACCTGACTTTTTTTTTTTTTTCCACACACGGCACATATAATGCATATCGACCCCCCCTCCCCCATTAAGGTATAGCACACACACACTGCAAGAAAAAAAAAACCACTAATAGGTAATAATGTTATCATGTCGCCCATCCTTCAGAGAGCCGCATGCGCTTGACAGAGGGGCTTTCCCTTTCGTCCGGCGAAGGTCTGGTGAGTCCAATGGGGGAGTGGAATTCATTCCGGTGATCTTCTCGGTCACTTCCATCGTAGGAACTGCTACAGCTGCTCAAACTGTCAACTGGAGATCTCCCCGCCTCATGGCGCGTGTGCTGTGGGTATCTCGAGGGTGTGGTGGTACGGTCTCTAGGAGGAGAAACAGGTTCTGACTTGATGTTGAGGCTTTGAGTAGAAGGCAGGGAGAGATTTGTACTCTGAGATAAATGAGTGCTAGTGCAAGCTCTGTAGGAGGAAAGGAAACCCAGTTACAGACGGAGGAGGCATGGAGCCCCCAGATATGCACAAACACTCACACAAAACACCAGTGTAAAGGCTCGCACAGGCCCAGCACGTGCGGAGGGCACGAGGACTGTTTTCTGGGCAGAATTCACAAATTCAAAGAGATGAAAGCATCACAACAAAAGTGGTTGGTTTGAGAAGTCTTGCTTTCAATCTCTCTCCTTTTTTTTTGGACTCAAGTGTCACGACAAATTTTGGAAGGCGAGCCTTTGCACTGTTGGAACCACCTGCAGGTTTCTTTATAACTAATGCTTGTGTGTGTGTATGCACCGGCTGAGACAGGGGAGGCACGGACTTTCTGTTGGGATCAATCCAATTAGCTCGAATGCACCCGACTATTTTTATCTCTGTTCATTTTGACTTCAGATGCAAAGCAGAAACAAAGATTTGGGCCAGGTACATTTTATACATTTATACATTCTTTCAGAATACAGCTGAAATTACTGGTCCTAGGATTGACATTAATAAAATACCACAGGCAGGCAAGGATTTAGATAGGATTTTACGGTTTAAATCTATGAATTCCTAACTCAATCTAGAATGCTTTTGAATAAACTGCCAAAGAGAAGCTGAAGAGTAGTGGAAGATGGCAGAGGATTGTACTGCTTGCCTGTAGGACAGCCCAGCTCAGAGGATGCTCCAAGCATCAAGAGAAACTGGTACGCTAAAACTTTTTCAAAGGCAAGCTATATAACTATTCTAAGTGCATTTTTATGGGCATGTAGTGGCAGAGGAAAGCTGAAACAGGCAGAGAGGAGAGTGAATACTGAGAATGCGTTGTATGGGAGAAACGAGATCACTTGCATCTGCAGGATGTTTTGTACTAAAGCACCACCTCCTGGTAAAACCTGACTCCGTTATTAAAACAGAGTTCTCAGCATGCAGTTCACATTATGGGACCATTTGCTAGGCTGAAGTTGGTGTCTAACCCCAAAGACACAGTTTCACAGTTTCTAGCAGTGAGTATGTATACAGGGGGAGACTGAAGGCAGTAGGGGCAACAGACCACTTGCCTCAGAAGATTTTAAACCTGAAGGGACGTGCAGGCATTTTTACAGCAAGCAGAAGAAATACTGGGATTTGGAAGTAATTTTTAAGCACGCAGAAGAAACAATTGCATTTAGATGCGGTCTTTTCATTGATCGAAATATTCCATTTTTCCTGATACCTGATTAACTGAGAGTTGAGCTTTACTTGAGCAACATTTACTGTAACTTTGATGAAAGGCAATATGTTATTTCCTTTTCTTCTGGCAGATTTAAAATGGAACTATGTGGCTTCAGTATTGAATGGTTTCAGCTGCTTTTATCAGGAATTATCGCAGTCTTTAATAATGGATGTATCTTGTTAGAAAACAGAGAAAACAGGATGTTTACCTCCAACTGCTTTTATCTACCCTTCATTCCTATACAGCTGAATGTGCCAAATTTGCAGCAATCCCTTTCATAAGCCACAGAGTTAGTGAGTAATAGCCCTCACAGTAGCAAATGTAGGCATTTTTTTTGGCAAAGAGGACATTTTCTTTGCTTTTGTAACTATTAAATTAACACATCTAAGAAACTGTAAATAACAGACTTCATCATTCCAATTTAGTGAAATATTCCATTTTTTTCCCTGAAAACTTGTTGAAAAGAATCCAAGAAGAATAAAAAATACATTCCTGAGGGTTTTTTTTTTAGTTTGAGGTTGGTTTTTTTTTTCTGCTTTTCATTTCCAGTGACTTTATTTTTCAGTTGCTTAAGGAGATGCTAGGACTTCACCTGGGAAAACAAGCTGCCACTTTAGCATGTATGATAAGATTACATATGATTTTAGATGCCAAGCTTATAGCTAAACCTGAAAGACCCATAATACAGGATGGTGAAGCCTGGGGATTTGATTTAGAAGTGTTTGATATGAGCAGATGACATGTCACTTTGCAAAGTGGGGACAGTTAAAAACCCGTGGTAGTTAAAACCAACCATACTCAGTCAAATTTGTTCACATGGAACATACTTACTTTCTATTGTGTGACAGCCCCCAAAGGAACAAATCTAGAGGGATAAGCTGCATTTTCTATGAAATACAGCTAGCAATGCTAAGCTGCAGTGTTGCTTTTTAAACAGTGTTTCGGAAGTGAGTATACGAATACATCCCTATAGACTTTTCTTTAGATTCTTTGCGATTCATCAGCGGGGTTACGTAAATACTTGGCATACAAATTTGCGGCAGTTTTACAAATACTACAGGTTGATCTGCATTTTGAACACTTTTTTGTAAATGGAAAAAGGGTTAAGAAGTCATTTTGGCAGGTCAGGACTAAATTTTTGAGGTTTAAAACAATATAAATAAAGCAATTAATGAGTGTCATAATTTTTCTTTTTAAATATAGTCTTTTAAAATGTCTTTTTCTGCTAAAAATATTTCTCAATCTTAATATCTGTTTTTCGATGATTATAATTTACATTATTTCATTAAAATTTTCTGAAATGTTTTAATGAGAATCTCACGTAAGCTCCTATGGTCAGTTACAAGGGAAACCTACTGTTACACATAGATGTGAATGGTGAAATAGCACATACTTAGGTGCAGTCCTTTAGACCTAAATAGAGGATTGACTTCTATTTATAATAGAAGCTGTATTACAAAAAATGATAATTCTGTTGGTTACTGAATGATTTCCTGCCACGCATGTGTGTGAGTGTAGAAACAGCTGTTTGTATCTGCATGCATCAATGCATATTTTACACTGTTGCTTCATATAATTATCTACTTTTGGTCCAGGCATACCCTATTTTCATCATTTGAAACCTACACTAAGATCACTGAAAACCAAACAGGTTTTGAATATGGAAAATTACTTCAAAGGATTGCATATAATTATAAGCACTCAATAAGTGCCATGCGGTCCACTCACGTTGACATAATCACCTTTTTCCATACATTGTATGAAAACACTTCATTTTACGGGGACAGTGAAGAAAATTAAAGTTTTAATTTTACACAGCATTTCCTGTTGAGACCAATATAGCGAAAACGTGACGTTCATTTAGAACACAACAGCCACGTGGGAGAACCGCTGGTTCCTATCTGGGTTCAACGCTGAACAACTCTGCTGTGTAAGAAGTGGGAAGCAAGTCAGGATGCAACGAGCTTGCAAGTGGGTTTAGTCCTTGCTGATGCCAGTGAGATCATTTCTGTATGTGTCTCCATCTATTTGAGTCTTGAATGGGTATGGAAGCTCAGCATGCACAGATAGAAGTGCAGGTCTGAGTAGGTGATGAGTGAGGATATGAACAGGCACAAGACAGGTTTTTACAGAGGGAAAAAGTGTGCAGGTCTGAGTAGGTGATGAGTGAGGATACGAACAGGCACCAGACAGGTTTTTACAGAGGGTCTACTGAAGGAAGAAACGGCCTCACACACCTCTATTATGCCCACATTTGCTTCTCTAAATTAGTTTGCTTCCTCACTTCATACAATTTGTCCCTATAAGTATATGTAAGGAACAATTCAAAATTCACTGAGAAATTTAGTGACGTAACTTTAGTTATGTGCTGGTCTGTAACTCCGGGAATAGAGGATATTTTTGACTTGGTAGCAATGCAACCTTCCTCCCTCCCCTCTGTTTTTCTTTCAGGTAAAAGCAAAGTTGTTTTTTTCATATTTTTTATCAATGTAAAAGCAGAATAAGAATTTCTGTGTCAAGATATTTTGATTAGCTCTCACACATTAAGGTCTACATTTTAAAAAGAAATTTCTAAGCAAAGAATAATATGAAACTGAATCACTGGATCATCTAATTTATAATGGTGACGTAAGAAAAAAGGTTCCTAAATATAAAAGGCTTTTATTCAAAACAAGGAAGGTGGCAGAACTGCTACAAACGCACAAAACATGGTATCACTGCATCTACAATTTTCAGTAAAAATGGTTTGATGGAGAATATTCGCCAAGATCTAGCTATAGCTATTACCTATTCAAAATTAACCATTGCTAAGTAATAAGAGTCACAGAACAAGTCAACAGTAGCATAGATTTGGACAATTTTGTGTTCAGGTGGGTAAAAGTTTGGAGAAACTTCTTTTACATAAACAATTATCTATACTGAAGATTCTTCAGATGGAATACTGTGACTGCGTTTCTATGTTTGCACTTACATTTTAGGAAAGCCAGAATTTCACCTACGGGTGATACTCAAGGAAGAAAAGATTCTCTCACAGACTGGGAAATATGGATGAAAGAGAACGTTTTCCATATAATGGACCTGTGCCTAAAAAATTTAGATCATTTATCTGAAAGTTTGGAATGGACTTCCTTTCTGGTTAGCAGCAATTAATTTCTGGCAGACTCTTTAGTCCATGTTAAATAAGCAGTAACCCTCTCCGTAAGATATATTGCAGCAATATTCAGACAAAATCCCAAAGTTTTGGGAGGGATTGATTTTCAATAGAATTTGTGTGTATTTTTTCCAGATGTAGACCTAGTTAAAAGACTGTGAAAATACTATTTTGCTTTTTAACCTAAGAAGTTGAAAAGTCTGCCTTCTCTTAATGTCTCAATCGTATCAAAACAGGCTCTACATTGTTATCCCATTCACCAGGCTCAGCAAAAGGTCAAAAGCTGCGCAGACATGAGAAGCAAACTGCTCCAAATACTACCAGTGCCAGTATTTGCCCTCAAGCCCACTGGCACTGGTACGGTGCTAACTCCAGAGTCAACATGAAGAGTTAGAGTTAGGTTGTAGAGATCTCCAGTTATCTCAAAGATGGTTCTGACAGTGCTGCTGAAATTGTTGGGGACTTATCAGGAGCAAGCGAATATGTCTACCCTATTACTAACCATATTCTTCTGCCATGCATTGAGGAAGCAGAGCTGGTTCTCACCTTTAGGCTTTGGTAAAACCCAAAACCTTCTGGAGAACTAGGAAGTCTCTTCCAGTAACTCTGTTTTCTCACAGGTCTTTACAGCCTATTGTTATCAACAAATATCTGACAGTTGCCCAAACTTTCCAGTATATGACCTCACTTAGTACAGGGATTTGGGTTGTCAAACCCTTTCTAGATATGTTTTCTCAAATGCCTGGGGATGACTATAATTTTGTGTGATTCTTTTAATCTTCCTGTGAACTCTAGCTCAGGTTGACATGGACTGAATATGTTCTGTATGATTTGAAGTTTTTCAAATTATCCAAAAGTTAGCACAGGTGCTTTTGCATGTAGAAAATACAGAAATGCTTGTGATTTTCTGCACAGAAAGAAGACTTCTCCAGAACTCTCAATGAAGCAGCTTTCATAGCTGAATTCATTTACAAATCACTGAAAGAATAATAATAAAAGTAGCAACTCAGAATGTATTCCATGAGCCACAGTCATTACACTTTGACATTCTGTGATATGAATTAGAAACAGATGACGATGTGTGACATATCTGAAAAAGCATGTAGTTAGTTTAGGATTTAATTTATTCCTTTTTGGTTAACCAAATAGCCTTATTACATTCTTTGGTACACCACTGAAAACAATCAGCTTATTGTAAGGTTATACATTGATATCTAACATGAGAGTTTTCAATTTATATGAGACTTCATGTCTTTGGTTGTATAGTTAGCCTGAAAGTTGCCCCAGAAACAATGCAAACTCAAAAAGAAAATAGAAGAAGCATAAGAGAAAGGTATTAAGACTGTTTTTTTCTAGCACAGCAACTATTTACGTAGTTAATATCTAGATATGCTTATTTATATAAAATTAGGTTTAAAATTTTTTTGTTTCCTCGGAAATGCCTGTATAGCTGTCCTTTAAAAACCCAAACTGTCTGTACATTAAATTACAAAATGTGGTCTGATAAATTAGAAGGAGAATTTTGAAGTTTAAGCCACATTTGTAGTATTAAATAGTTTAACATTATGGCTACCATCTTGCAAAAAAATGCATAGGGCTTATGTGAAACACCTGTTTCTGAAAAAAATATAAAAAGGATTTTACTTTTCAAATGAATGTGAATCAAACTTCTCCTCATAAATACATTTGAATTGCTTTCACTTCTATTTTCATAACGAAAACTTTTAAAATTCAAACATGTCTAGTCATACCTTAGGCTACATGTGGTGTACTGGTGAGTGCCTATAGTCTTACACAATAGAAACTGCAGATACCAGGATTTTTGAAAATACTGCTCTAAAAGTTCACTTCAATGAGCCAATAGGTTGCTTTTTCAATAATGCACTAGGTGACTTCCCCATGTGAATTTTCACACTTATAAAAATCCTGAAATGATTTAGCAGTGTGCTTCCCCATCTTGAATAAACGTCTGGAAACTACCCACCAGAGGGCATGAATACCCATCCTCCTCAACATTGGCAAATCACAATGGGTTTTGTGGGCTTACGGTTCTTAGGCCTAATTATGTTATTTACTTGTAGAAAACATTTCCAAAGAAATGAAACTTGAATGTAAGAGCTGAGCAGAAGGGAGTATCTGATTATTATACAAGGTTAAGGCTTAATCTCAGGTCAAGCCATTGTGTCACTCTTACTTGATTGGAAATATTTAGAAAATTTTCAAGTTTACTGTTTGCACTATAGTAACTGGAAATAAAAAGCATAAATGGCAAAATACAGCAACAGCACAATAGAAGTGTTTAGTTTGGTCTTCAGTGGTGAAATAAAATGCTATTTAGAGAAATAAAGAATAAAACATGAACAGTAGTCTTTACTACACTACTGAGAAAATGTCATGGACACAATATTTCATTTTAGCTACCTAGCAAACTGTTAATGAAATATGTAGTTCCAGTTTTGGGAAATGGAGCTCCTACACATAGTAAATATGTGCTGATATGTTTGCTTGATATATTTCAGATTTGGCATTACTGGGGAGACGGAAGTCACTGTAGAACAATAAAATAAAGAAAACACTGCTTACCCCAGTTGACTGAGGGCAGATGGTGGCATGTTATGCAGGTGTTGCTGTTGCCAGCCAGTCACAGAACCAAGATGAAGAGCACTGGCTGTATTAAACCCAGAGAGAGATGATATATCTGCACTACTCAGAGAATATTCTAGATTTGGAAACAGAAAAGACAATAATTAAAAGAGAATTAAGGAGGAAGCAATTAAACAATAACTAGTATCATAATTTTCACGTCACTTTATAAGCCTTTTAATTTTAATTACACCAATCACATTAAGTTGCAGCAGAAAAAGTAGACCTTCCTCTCCCTCAACTCATTAACTTGAGAGAAAATAATGTACTAATAATTTGTCTACAATTTAGCAAGGTTTTTCTGGATCTGGAAGATCCAAAGCATTCTTAGCCTATATACCCATCATACTACAACTACGTGCATGTAACTACAGATGCATTTTCACAAAGACTTGAAAAACATAGTATTTTGGTTACAGTCTTCACTGCAGAACCCAGCGGGCAGCTGTGTCTGAACAACGCACATCTTCTCTAAAAGCATTGGCTTTGCACGCCAGCATGCTCTATACAGCAGCAATGTGCAAAGGGAGCTGGAAGGGATCTCTTGAGGCTTCATTTCTAGTGTCTCCCAAGTGTCTATGTGATAGCCCACAAAGTTATTGAGCTCTGTTTTGAAGCCAGTGAAACTGCTTGCTACCAATACCCTTATGACTTTAGGCAGGTGTACTCAGCTACATGAAACTACCTGTGGTATTAAGAGGATTAAGAAATGCCTTCTAAGTTACATTTTTTTTATTAAAGCCAATGAAAGAAAGCTACTAAAGCAGTTTTCCACTTAAACAAATTAGCTAACTTAAACAGATATGTCTCAAGTTAGTGAAAGATACAGAATAAGTAAATGAAGTGCAAAAGCATATCAGCTATGAATTTTTTCAGTTTCTCCCAATGATCATTAGCTAATTCATTAGTACTGAGATAGACATTTGTCAGCACTTTCCTCCCTCCCCCACCCTCTACATCTTCCACTGATACTTACCAGTACCATATGTTGTTGAGATGGCTGATGGGTATCCTCCCATCCCTTGCCCTGGTAGAGTAGGAGTTGCTACGGAAACCACTGGAGTAGCCAATGACTGAGCAGACTGGGAGTTATTTATCCTTTGATTCTTTTAAAGTAAGTAAAATAAACATATTATTGACTGGTTTTAAGTCAGTTGAGTGTATTAACTTTCTGGGTATGTTTTGTGTGTGAAAAATACAGGCTGATACAAATATCTAGAAATTAATCATTTAACATGTGGCTTTTATGAACTCTGCCAACCCTATCATTTACAAGCCTTCAAGAGACCAGTTGTCACCATAGTAACCCATTACATCAGTATCTCCTAGGTAACTGAACTAGTAACAAGTAAGATTGCTTTTATTGTGGGTAGAAGAACAGATCATGTGAAATATGTAAACTATTCCCATTGTTTTCCTTTTCACTAAAAAAAAAAAAAAAAAAAAAGAAAAAAGGGCAAAAGAAAACCCCCCAAGCCCAGTCCTACAGGATTTTATGCTTTGGAAGTGAGGGGCACCCCGAAGTTGCTGAACACTGAACTCTTACCAGCAGATGGTGCTCGGACTACTTCGGTTTTGTGCAATAAAACAAACTTCAAGCGTGTTAGGTAGCACAGCAGTTACACGTTTAACTCCGTGGGACTAGATGTTGCACTGTAAAAATTGCACTAGAGAACTCTAATCCTGTGAGTGGCAGGATAAAATGACCAGAGAGCCACCAAAAAATATCATAAGGCTGCACCATCTTCAACAGCACAAGTTTACACGCTCTCAAAGCAAGAGCAACACAAAAGATTTATTCTAGCATGCATAATTTGAATATCTGCAACAACTGCACCTGGCCTTCCATATTGCTATATTTCAAAAATTTTGATGCCTTTTTTTGTTCACAAAATAGTTATGGTAAAGTTTTCCATTTTACTTTAACCAACACTTCGCCTACACAAGTATCAACCATACAAGAGAACTGATTTTCTTTTCCTCGTTATTAAGGTGAACATCACTATCACTTACCAGAAGCAGATCAACATCCTCAGACTGAGTGCATAGGAAAGGAGGATTAAAAATTAATGAATATAAATATTTACGAGGATGCAGATTTCTAGACTAAGGAATAGCTTCATTGATAGGGGCAGCAAATTATACACTTTCTGAACATAGTTTGGAAAAATAAGACTTCATAGACCTCCTCTTTGCCCTTTTAACGGGATGTCTGTCTGAACTATGAGGACAACCTATCCAGTTTTCAGTGCAAGACTTTCTCTAAGAATCCATTATTTCTTCTGCAGCCCCAGTGGCTGCAAACTATGTTGCTATACCTGGTTTCAGGAGACCTGACCATTCACAGAATCCCTTAGAAAGTATCAGTTTTAAGGACTCTGGAATAAATTATTTGATGCAGACAGCTTGTCACTGCCTTGGTTGACTTTGAGGATTGCCCTGTAGAAGACTATTTGTTACCTACTCTCTCAGAAGGCAGCATCACATTTAGTTTGATGTTCAGAGTTAATCTATTATGCGTCAAGCTAAAGTAGCCAATTTGGAAGCTGTTTTAATAGTGTCTGTTACATAATGGAAAATTGTGTTTATAGTGTCCCTTAAATTTACCATCAAGATCCTTTTTAATTTAAGCTCACTAATGTTAAATCACTCATGAAATATTTACTTGCAACCACAAACTGACTTTCAGACGGGAACTACATGATACACACATGACACCTTCATGATTCAACCTTCTAGCACAATAGCCTGCCTAAATTTTGTTAATCTTGGCAGGAGATACAGCAGTTTCAGGTTCTTTTTTATCCTGATCTATCTATTTACTACCTCTTATCATTATAAAACTTGGCCTTTGGAGCTCAGAGTGATAGAGTTCAAATTAATTTATTTGTAGTTAATCTGTTATTTGCTGAGAGTCTGTGTGGCTAAATATTTAAGAAAAACATAGTAGGTTAGGGATACTCAGGGTTAAATTCAGTCTTTATAACAAATCCAGGAAAGGCTCTTCCAGCTACTAGGAAAGAGACTGCAGAAGTTTAGACTATGCAGGACAGAGTTCCTATTTTGCAACTCAATAGAAAAAAGGGAGGAAGTAAATATGACTTCATAAAAGCAATCAAACAGGCTCTGCCTACATCCTCAGCTCGATGTCAAGCCTTAAGGTTAGACAGAAAGACCAAACAAGTAAGAATGTGCAATGTTATTCTGCTGATTTTAGTTGCTTGAGTAGGCTTAAAATTCCTAAATATCTCTTATCAGAAGGAGAAAAAAAAAAGGTTTGAAAAATGCATTACCACTGATGGCATTGTATTCTTGCTGCCAGGTGGAATAAGCACACGGAGATCTGGTTTACGGTTGTTCATTCCCAAATTCATTGGAGGCGGAGATTTTGCTTGCATGTTCTTGTTCAAGTTGCCAGGTGAGACCAGCAGACCTGGTGAGTTACGGGGGTTGCCATATCCATTTCCTGTATAGGTTAAAAAAAAAAAAAAGAAAAAAAAAAGAAAAAAAAAGAAAAGAGAGAATGATTATAAACATCAATGTATTTCTTAAGACTGAACACAAAAAACATCAAATAAAAAAAATCAAGGTAAATACCTGTGCCATGTAATGTATTTTTATAGGAAAATACAACACATGCCATATTTGGAACAGCAAGTATTAAAATGCTTTCTCTCATGGCAGCTGACATCTCCGTGATGTGCTGAAATTAACTTGATTATATGACTCTTTTTACAGTACTATGGTATATAATACAATATACAGTGCGCTCAAAGCAGCCAAGATCTAACATTCGCTTTAGAAGAGAATCAGGAAAGTCAGACAATCTTACGGCTTAAAAAAAAAAGTCAAAGCTATGCTGTGTTTTCTCAACTACAGAGACTCTGCCTTGCCTGACTCAGCCCTTTCCAGGTCATGATTTTGTTTTGTTTTTAAACAAAGGATGAGTATAGCAAGGCTATAATTTCCAGAAAAGGCAGGGGGAGGACTCGGAAGATTCTTAACTGTTCTTGTCTCTCTTTCACCACACTTTTTGGACCTGATTCTGTCAACACTAAAGTCAATAGGAGCAAGAGCATAACCTTATTTGGAAAATACCACCACATCTTTCATCTTCACCTCTCTGCTGCTTGCTGCAGGCCCTGGGAACAAATCTGACAGGCAAATGCTTCATTTGCCTTTTTCAGAAAAGGATTTCCTTCTCTCACTACGTACTAATGACAACTGCACATCCATAAGGTTACTGACCTACCATTCCGCTAAAAATGAGACAATCCTATTCCATCCACCTAATTTCACCTCCTACCCACAGGAAGTCATGGGAAAGACATGACTTTTTCGCATAGCCTTGAAATTCTGTCTGCACGGGCTCCAGAAAGACACAGAAACTGCCCCATCATAGAGAGGGAATAGCACAAAAAAATGTACAGAAAGAGAAAACTTTTGGAGATAAATACCAAGAAAACAAATGCTAGGAGAGACTTTCTGTTCTGTGCTCATCTTTTGTTCACAGCTCGCAAGCTGCGACACACAACCCAGAAACAGTGTGGGAAGATGAGCTACTGAGTGTGGCACAGCCCCATGAGTTGGAAGATCTGGACCTTCAAATTTCCTTTGTAGTCCCAAAGTCAGTGAAAAACTCAGTTTTTTCCACATGTGAAATGGGATATACAGCCCTAAAGGACATAAATGGATTATGGAAGTAAATTTGATAAAGTCTATGAGGTGGCCATAAAAATGACAGTACAAGAGAGTCAATATGTCTTCTAGTTAGGATAATGAAGTGTGTCCAAGCATGACTAACATTAAATCACGTTTTTAATCTGCAAGCACATCAGCTAATTGTATTTATCAGACCAGTAAATCCAGGAAAACAATTCTGTCAAAGGCTATTAAATACAAAACCACCACTTCAGGATCTCAAAGACCCTGAACTGTGAACATTGGGCTTATGACACAGGAAAAGTATCACAAGGTGCTCGACTTCCATATTTGTGAGATACCTTTAGTCACAGGTCTGGCCTGGCTTGTTTATTCTCATGCTTTTTGATATCATGATCTCCCAAGCCTTTGCAAAAAAAAGGAATTAAGATGAAAACGTAGAAGCACTCAGATCACTTCAGAGATTTTGTATTAAAATATTTTTCATGGTTCATGTTGTTGTTTATTTCCTTAATAATATCTTACAGTTCGTGAGATAAAATGAGCTAATGGAAAAAAGTGTATTTTACACTTATCAAGCTAAAACAGCAGAACAGTGTCAAGAATTTTCCATTTTGTGTCAGTAAGCTTTTTTTTTTTAAATGAACAATTGCTCTCAACAGGGATTTGCTACATATTATGCTCTAATTAATGCTATGTGTTACTAGAGACTGCAAAATTAGAAGGGGCATTTTGAATATACAACAATATTTTCTTCTAGAACCTACAGTCTCTTTTAAAAGTTGATCTTTTACAAACTGAATACTGAAAAACTAATGACTTGGTGATCAACAGAAGAAACTGAAGCATTAAGTAGAGTTTCTCCGGTGTTGGTTTCACACAGGAGTTATTTTACCAACAGGAAGTAAAACTGCCTTGTGAAATCTGACAAGCATTTGTTCAGAAAGTGAAAATGAAGCTGTTTGAAGAAGCAGTGTATTTTTTTTTTTTTTGCTTCTACAATATACAACCTAAGAAATTTAATGAAACAGCACACACTCTAATCTATATGTTTGTTTCTATAGTTGTGATTTTCATGGAATATAAACCCTTACAAAAACACCTCCCATTCTCTACATAAGATTTACTTAATATAATTTACTATTAAAAATTAAGAGTCCATCTGTACGAAACTTTACTCTTCAGAAACTTTCGCCTGACCTTTATATTATTTACCTACTGATGTAAAATATTTTGGACAGTGATAACATTTCTTACATTTATATTTTTAGAACATCATATTATTTTTAAGAACTACTGCAATCTTCTCTTTACCAGTAGATTTCTGCTGCTGATGGCATATTATCCCAGCTAGCATTTTGGAGCCATATAATAACCATTCCTCTTTCCAGCCACCAAATTGTTATTCTTTTGGTATAATGTGGATTCAGGAATGTAAGACTGTAGACCTTAAACCAATGATACAGAACCCCATCATTTGAAAATCAATGATGAATGCATGCATGCGGTTTACAGTTAAGAAGAGTCTGCATTTAAACCAGCTCTTTAAACCGTATCCTCTTTACTCAGAAAGCTGTGGCCTGCTCTGAGGCAGCTGTCCCACCTTCAGATAAATCCACTGAAGAGAATGGCCTCATTTACATTCAGAGGCAAAAAAATGTATAAGACTTCTAATATACAAATTAAACCTTCCTTCATCCTATACTTTAAAATTACACTCTGCCCGGACAATTATCAATTTAGATGTGACTGTATGCAGAACATCGCATTCCACTATCCACTTGAAAGCGCAAAAATTATATGTCATGTATGAATGGATTTCCTGATTATAGATTATAAGAAAATGAAAAACAGATGGATTTTAGAGCAAGTTGGCTTTACATTTTTATTTGGTTAAAAGCCATATTTTTGCTGGAATAGAACATTTTTAAACATTACGGATATAGCTTGTGATGTATAATGAAAATAAAAACAGTAGATGCACAAGTTTTAAAGGGCATATGTCAGAATTTGTAAATTTACAGCATTTTCAATTCAAGAGGTTTTCAGAGAAAATTATTTTTCCTCTTGTTTGATATACCGACTTGAAAGAGTAAAAATATTTTACAAAGAAAAGAGCTTGTTTCTAGACAGAACTAGTGGAGCAGCACGTGTCATGAAGTAGAGTGCCAGACTTTGTATTTGGACTAATGGCAGAATATAAAGACAAATGCTTTCTGAGCATAGAATGCCCTTCTTGGCGTGTTCCCACATTCTGCATTTAAGCACAAGCGCCATTGACTTTAGAAGGAATTTTGTCCAAGTACAGACTTCATGATTAATCCCTGCAACATCACTTTTTAAAAACATCCGGAAAAGTTATTTTTGTGCACCAGTAGTTAGTCAGTCAAGAAGAATTATCAAAAAAATTTTCATTTACTCATGGAAAACTATGATACATATTTATGTACTACTATCTTAAATGGTCACTTCCATGTTTTAAGAATTTAAGGGTATGAGTAGGGCGCAAGTTTATTCAGGACAGGACAGAGAGCAAAGTTTACTTCTTTCATTCCCCATTAGTAACACCTGCATCTTACCTGTAGTTTTGGTCACTGGTGTTACAGTGTTTGCAAAGCTGGTGCAATTCTTGATAGTCTCAGAATTAGGGCAGTAATTCTGTACTTAACATTTAAGCTAAGAAACTCTCCATGTGTTAAGGTAACACAAATGAGGAAAGAGTAATTTATTTCCATATCTCTTAACATTCTTGAACAACATTGTCATGACTCAAAGCCTTGAAGTCTTGAAAAATCAGAAAATTTTTGTATTTTGATTTCTTGAGGTTTTGAACCTGTCATATACCTACTTGTTTCTTTTTAATTTTTGATTCCAAGAATATAAAAATATACTGAATGAAAAAAACTCTGTGGTAGTCCTATAAGAACAAGACACACAATTTATATATCCTTTCTTTCATCTCTCTTTCATTTACTTTAATAGTTTTCACTGACCACAGGGGTTAAGAATTTACAAGAGCTTTAGGAAACTGCAATGTCCACCTCCCATTCATTTTAATAGGAAAAGAGCTTTCAAATTCTCAAAGGAGTCTGAATAAATATTAATGGTCATTTCAAGTTTCCAACAAGTGTATGCTCCTACTTGTGGAAATTATCGTAATTCTTCCAAGAATAATATGTACATTCCATTTCATGGAGGATTCCTGCTTCTTACTGGGTTATGTTAAATGAGCATCCCATATATACGACATGATGACTGATCACCAAGCCTCTCAAAAAAGAATATTAAATTTAGAAGTAATCTATATAAACATGAGACTCAACTATCCTACAATTTACCTCCACTTCAAAATATATGTCTATGTAAAAGAATCAATGCAGTAATAGAAATTTTGCTACATTTACACCCAGCTTTGCACTCTTCACTCAGTTAATTTTCCCACTTTCTGGAGGAGTGGTAATTGTTCCTAAAAGTAATTAAAAGGCAATGAAAGGGTTCCTTTTCTCTCTTATATCTTATGTGTAATTTTTTTTTAAATGCATACACAGTCTTGGAACAGGCTATGGTTTACCACCCAAACAAAACAGGTACCAATAATAAAGCACTAATGCCAGGAAGCTGTAATGGTGTTCACCTAAACATAATTTTTGAAAGAGATAATTGAACGTTCTTACTCACATGTTGCATGCTAGTCATTTCACGGTACATGACCTCTACTAACTGCAAGTGGTAGAAGAAGACCAATTTGCACATATGCTCACCCAGAAAAAAGAGAATCTTTGCACTGAAGTAGCTGCCCATTCC